GACCAAATGTCCACTTTTGTGTGGATTTGCCTTGAACTCAACTGGAAGATGCTCAAGAAAGCTAAGCACAATTGTGCTTTTTTAACATGTATTAAAACATTTTTGGGGAGGGGGGTTGAAATCAATACTGCTTGACATTAATTGATGCACCGCTGGTATTTAGGGCCAACATATATGGCCTTGGTGAGACTGAATTTGATTGAAAGAGTTTGTCCATAGCGCTGATTGAAACTTTTGACAACAAAGTGCTGCGGGCCGCATATCATTTGCATTTACGACTACCTGTTCATGCTGAGACTATCCATGCTCAGGAAGTAGTGGGTCCATCATAAATTGACAAAATGGAGGGACTGGGTATACACAAAATAGAGATGAATCATAAACAGACGAGTGGGACACATACGTGTATTGGGCAATCTGAGCAGTAATTTTCGCTTTGAATAGTTGAAAATCAGCTGTCAACAGGAGGAATAACAAATGAAAGGAGAAATCCCCCCCCAAAAAAGCAGGTACAGACAGCAATGAAATGAAGGAAAAGCTTTAAAAGTGTGGCTTCTCCTGAATCTGCTTACAAAGGAATTTAGATACATAGTTGTCTAAAATCTTGCCAGAAAACTTACACTTTCTACACTGTAAGTGGTTTGATTCATAATGTGTGATGAGATTTTTAAAACAGTTAAAGTGTTTTCTGTTTGCATCTGTTCGACAAGAACTTCCAATAGTGGCTGGAACTTTTATAATAACAAAAGGCGATTTTATATTTGTCAGGGTTTGGGATGGGGTTTTGCACGAGTAACACTGACCTTTTCTTCACTCATTTTGTTGCATGTGGATTTTTACAAGAGTTTCTCTCTAAATGTCTAACAAGTGTTCTGATTCTTGAGCCTCTTTTTAAAAGGTTGCTGCAGTCAAATGGTTTCACACCAAAGTCAGTTGAATTTTCCACTTTGCATTTAATTTGTTAACTTTAGTTCGATGCTCAAAGGAATACCAGTGATTTTTTATTTATTTATTTATTTGTTTGTTTTTTTTACAGTTTGGTAAATTTCTTGGTCAGTTGTGGGCAACAGCAATATTTATGATAAAGTTTTCCATATTGATATTTTTTAAGGCCTTGCCTGGGCACAGACTGAAAAAATATTGCACCATGGCTCCCAAGCCCTGTCCTGAACAAAGAAACTTGTCAATATTTCCAATCTGATGACAGGGTCGGTTATTGTACAGGATTACACGCTGTGCCCAGCCACAATATGCCAAACCACTTTGTGAACAGTTTGATGAAAAGATTGCAGCCTTGTGTCTCTACTTCTCTGTGTGTGTGTATGTGTGTGTATTTGTGCAGTGTGTATGGGAGGGGGGGTGGAACACAGAGAGTGGCGCGTGCGGGGCAGGGTGCAGGGACTAATTACATGAATAACTAATGAGCAAGGCCAGAGCGGAGATGCCACGCGCCCATTGTAGGCCGTGCATAGTAATGGGCACAAAAGGGTGGGACAGACCATTCTCAAGTGCAGGGGGGTTGGGTGGACATTTTTTTTGGAGGGATTTATGCACATCATTTCTGTATACTGTTAATACTTTGTATATGTAGTTAGCAGTTGGGTGTCGAGTGTGTTTGTAAATGGTTGATTTTACCTTGTACGTTTAAGTGGGAGTGGATTAACATGCAGTTAATAGTTAATTTTGGAATAAGGGTAGGAATTTACATTTAATTTGAAAAACGTTTACAAAAACTTTCCCATACCATTCAGTCAGTACTGTACAGAGGCTGCAGCTGCCTACCTTGGTGTTTTCATATATGCAGAATTATATAGTTTTATTCAACAATAAACATGGTCCAATCTTTGTAAAAAATTGTAGACTGATGTTGGGGCACTTAAACCAAGCAATGTTTATTGATAGTTTTAGAATCCACTTTTGTCTTAGAAAGTACATGAATGCCGAAAGGGAAAAACTCAGAATATAAGAGGGATTGTTTACAATAAAAATGAACTCCAGATTGCATTAATCAAAATGTCAAACCTCTATAAGGGGCGGTTCCGTTTAAACGTTTGGAAAAATCTTTAAACGGATTTGGAACTTTTTTTTTGTTTAAAGGTGTTAACGTCCTACCCTTATTTGGGAATGACTTCTTCAGGTAAAATGGAATTTGGGAAAGGAACCAGTTGAATGTATCGAAGTTTGTCTTGTGAGCCTCAAATCTATGATAATTCTCATTCGGTGACACAAGAGAATTCCTGGAAATGATCTGGGGGTTAAAGTATCCTGCCACGTCATGACAGAATTTGTGCATAACCGTTGGACTGATTATTTTTTAAAAATCAAAAAGGTTCACATTTTGGATGCATACAACACGTGCACATGCTGGCTTGAAGAAATCTTCCACAGGAAGTATTTTTTTTTTATCGAGGAAGAGGATGTTGAATATCGTGGATGTTGTTTTGCTCTCTCTCTCTAAACTGATAAAAATCTGGTATCAACACATAAAATATAATTTTCCTGTCTTTAAAGATATTCCCCTTGCTTTCCATAAACCAAGAACAGCACCCTGGTTTTGTTCCTCCGCCAGCAAGTTCCATCTTTGTGTGTTACGAGCATCACTCCTGACTTGGTTTCCCACTCCCTGAACAATAAAAAATATTACCATGGGGGGGGGAACGAGCATGGCCCTTCCGAAAGAGAAACCACCCAGAAACACAATAAAATCCCCTTACCTCGAGAAGAAATTTCAGCCATCCTATAAAAAGATTAAAATGTAATTATGTCCCCATACTTGGGGCAACTACTGTCTAACTGCAGGGCTTTGTTCCTGTGGGAATTGTAGTGGCATCAATTGACATTCAGTACAACTGCAATTCCCTGCTCCGACCCACATAAGACTTGCATGTGTGTACAATGTAGGTCTATATCTTGTCGTCGGTCACATCTGTGAATACTCCAAGTATCAGAAGGCCATACAAACTGATAAATCATTTAGGTACAGTACATACTGACGTGGGAGGAGCAAAGGGGAAACTGATACGGTTTCTTAGAAATCCAAATTAACCCGAGGTTTGAGGATGCAGACTTTTCGTTAGAATTTACACTGTTAATGTGTTGTGTGCTCCGGGTACATCATTTCTACATGTACCCGCACTGTCAGATCGTAGAAACTCTTGAACGAACTCCTTTAAATTACTGATGTCCTCCGTCAAGTGTGCAGTTATTTCTGTCGCCAGCCCCGGCAGACGACTTGACATTTTGGCTTGTCCAGTGCTAAAAAAAAAAACCAAAGAAATAAAAGTGAACATGACATTCGGCAAGGACCCAGAACCTGTACATACATGTGCATTGTGCAGCATGATGAATAACTGGAAAAAGTGGAGTGGTCACACAGTTGGCGTTATCACAGAGCTGCTGTCAGCAATGCCAACTGTCCATATTGGAGGCGTAACAACTTGCTAGCCTCTGCACGCCCTTGCTCGCATGTTGTACATGTATAGTTCAATGAACAGAGTACATGCGCTGTAGCTACAGTAGTATTTGCAGACACACAGAAAAATGTCTGTAGTTATTGAAAATTGCACAAGACAAAGTCTGTCCTCAGACAGAGGAGGCTATGTCAGGGAGGGGATCGGGGATGTAAGTAACAGTTGCATTTGTTCGAGCACTTTGATTGGTACAGCCAACTTGAGCAATTCACTTAGTGTAGCCAACTTTGAAAAGGAGCAGTTAATGTATGATTCATTTGGTACTTGTTTGTTATAAAAAGGGTACTTACCCTGCACACGTATGTGAAGGTGATTACCTTTTCAATTCTGTCTTGAAAAGAAAAAAATAACATGTACATGTACTCAGTAGTGCAGTAGGAAACTCTCTAGGTTAGGATGTACATGACCAACAACTTGTGTTGTTGTTTGCCTTGATATGTGTTATGAATGTACATTTAGCATAAGATCCATGCCCTAACCAAAAACAAAGTTATGATCTTGATAAGAAATACTGGAATTTTTAATCATGGCTCCCCAAACCCACATTTCAATTTTTTTTTCCCCTCTCCCACAGCAATGACACGCACCATAAGATACTCCAAGATAATTAAAAGGATTGGACTTTTGCTTTCCCCCCATTGAACTATCGCACTGCACTACGTCCCCTGCCTAATGATTGATTGTTTTCTGCATTGTTCACCCACTTGACAAAGTGCCTTCGTGTGCAGTCATGTTTTATTTAGAGTGAAGCGTACATGTACATGCAGCGTCTTAAACATACGTTGTCCGTGTCTGTACACTGTACAGTATGTTTACATGTATGCCTCATTAACATTGGACACTTGTGTGGAGGGGCAACTATGCCAGGCTTATGGAGAGAGGAATATGCCAGGTTTATTTATACACTGACGAATGTAAAGCAGTAGATTTGAAAGAGGAGAGAAACAGTTAAAAAAGGAAGTACATTTGCTTGCATCTGTAGCCAAAACACAGGATTAGATGCAAAAAGCACTGCTGTACATAACTTGGTCATTTCAGGCCGTTCGGTTTTGAGTTGCAAGTTAAAGCCTGTTATGTTTGCCTAGAAGCTTAGGTAGATGTCTTAAAACCATTTTTTGTTTCCCCTGCCAGCTGATGGTGGGGCCTGGTGCCAATGATGTGGCCCAACAGCTGAGCTGGCAGGTCTACAGCTCTGCAGCAGACCCAGTCTGTCGGGCTTGATTTTGTAGTCCTCGACAGCAAAAAACTTCTCGGGATCTCTTTCGAAGACTCGTTTGATGCATACAGAGCAGCCACAAAACTTTTATTTGCTGTGTTTTGGGCCGGACGAGAGTGGGAACGAAAAATGCTGAGGAGAAGCTTTAATTAATGGGAAAAAATGGCTGTCTGTGTTATACCCTTCCCTTGCAGTGGCATCATACCCCTGTGTAAGTTGTAGGGCCGTCATGTGTCCAACTTCATTTTGCGTCGATTTAAAAAGAAAAGTAACAAGATTGCCACTTTTTTTTTTTTGTTTTTAAACCATCACAGATGTTGCTGTAAACGGCACTGCAGCAGACGGCCCAGTCAAGGGACGCAGCAGACTCGCCGAACTCCGAGAGGCTGTGACCAAATCCCCCAGCAAAGACCCGGTCAGTCGGGACGTCAGCATCATGGTTAGGGTGGGTATCTGAGGATGTGGTGTCCTTGCACTTTGTCTTTCCCTTCGGCTCGCAAGTTCTTCACTTGAAGACATTATTTTAATTATGAAAGAATGGTTCAGTTTTTGACAGAAAAAAAATGTCAAATCAAGTTTGGGATTCCCTTGGAGTGTTGACTCCTGAGTCTCTCTGATCTGGTTCAGATTTGACTCTTCAAAGCTTACCTTCTGAACAAAATGTGAGTTTTTATGAAGCAATGCTAGTTACCTGTAGTTGTACACCAAACGCAATGTGCTCTTTGAAGAAAGTAGGGGAGGTTTTTTTTATTAAAATGAACCTCATGTAAGAGAACGAAATCAATACTTCACAGGACACTTGTAGTGAAGACTTTAATGTGAACAGATGCCCAAAGAAATAGTGTGAAGCATTTCTTAACTTCCAAGTAATACCTAGTGGTGACAGGGTATCAAGGCTCTGAAAGACTGATGAACCTCTACACTTTATAGATATGGAGACCTCATGCTGTAGAAAGGACAACTGTACATCTGTTTCATCCAGACTCAGATGTTGGGTTGATATGATCTGATGAGGTTTCAAGTGAGACGTATTTTGCTTGTGGGTCTGATATTTTGAAGCCAAGTTTTTGGTCACGACCGATGACCAGTTTTTCTCAAAATACACGTAACTCTTGAGCTGTACCTCGGCATTGGCAAGACAGCATTTGCAAGTTGCACAAGCGTAGCGAGGGATGCGCAGTTACAGTTTCAGGCTCCCAGCCCCTGCGGCCGACCAGGTACGCACGGTGGCTGCAGTTACCATGGCATCAAAGGCTTTTACTCCCCCCGCCAGACGGGATGCCATTTGTTCAGTCGGTCGCTGTCTCCCTCTGTGACCCGTCCTCCCCGGGATGGGCAAAGGTCAGGCAGGGGTTAAGCACCTTCCCCCGAGCTTGCGTTGGATGGCCAGAGGGTAGGGCGCACCTTACGCGTGAACTTCACCACCCTCAGGTTGCCCCACCGCAGAAGCAGTCTTGGGATGTATGCCTCGGCTACTGGTTTGTAAAATTAGACTCGGCCTTTCTCAGATGCTTTTCACCAGAGCAGAAATAAATGCGTTTTTTCCCTACCTCAGAAAACTAGCCCATCTGGCTTGATCTCTCCTCCAGTGAGAGAACAGAACAGAACAGAGCTTGTTTCTATTAGTCTTGCTCCTCAGACTACTTATTTTTTTTCCAGGAATGATCAACCCGTGAATGTGCGTTAATGAGAAAACAACCAGAAAACTCTTACTCACAATGGCCTTTCAAAAGATATTTGGTGGATTTGTTGATGTCTTTTTCATTGTGAAACAGGCAGGTTCTGTATAATCCACACTCCCATGCACAGTCTCAGGGATCACAGCTTGAGTGGACCTGCACACGTACAGGCCCAAATTTATTTTGCGGTACGCGCTTTGCTTGTGTTAATTTCCCTTGACAGCCTGTAATACCGACATGCCGAGGCCAAGATTGGAGCAGACAGGCAAGCTTGAAGGCTGGCGGTTTTGAAGAGTCTTCTCGGCTGACTTTTGAGTTTTTGTTTATTTTCCCAACGAAGCTAGGTTGGAGCGGTTTGCAGCATTGCAGAACCCCCCCCCCAGATGACTGTGGAGGCTGACCCATCGCTTTGGCCATTCTTTATTTGTAAAATCATGGAATGTTCTCCATTAATAGAAGTTGAACAGTCACTCTGTGTGTGGAATATGCCCACAAGGGCAGAATGTTTTTGTGAGTGCTTGGAGAATCAACTGGTACAGTGTACACGGATTACAGTATCAAGTATTGGGTTTAAATCGAGCCTTCCTTGTTTCTTAAGCAGCTCCCCTCTTTTGGTATTTTCCCGTGCAAATTTTCCAAGAGCCTTCCTCTACTCCCACAATTTCACTTTAGATTTTTGAGAGACCTCTTTGAAGTGAATGTTACAGTTTGAATTCTTCCTTGATAATTGCATCAGAGACCCCAAGCCTTGTGTTCCCGATTTTTCTAGATTTTTAGTTGTGGAGAGAGTGATAATGCGACAGTAAATGTGGCAGGGATATGGCTGAGTTGTGGCTCTCGTCTAAGCTGGATCTGTATTTAAGCAGGTGCCCCTTTGCCTCACCAATGAAAAGGACCTTTTCCTCTTATTAAACAAGTCTCAGAGATTCAAGTAGAAATCAGTTTGTCAGTCGGACCCTCCTGTGATGCTTCTAAACAAAACCAAAAAAATTTGTACATCGACATGTTGTGAAACGAACTGTCCAAAGTTAGACATACTTGTGCAGTGTGGCACATAGTTCCTTTCTAGTGTGTCACAAACAACTTTTTTAAGAGTTATTCGTTTTTCTACGGACATCAGTTGGTAAACGGATAAGTTACAAAATTGAGCATATTAGTGGAAGCCTAGTTTGAAGAATTGCATTAGCCTCTTCCACCTCAAGTAATTCAAAGGATTTGAATAAATTTTCCCTAACACTTGACACATGTAAACTGAAGGTTGTGGTTTGTGAGACCCCCCCTATCCCCACCAAGGTCGTGCATACCAGTGGAGCCCGAAGGAGCTGTGCTTGCCAATGCAGTCATTAACAAGTGTCCTCCAGAGAGCTGATCGCATATCGCCATGGCAACCCCACTGATCAATGGCGAGAGGATGCGGGGAGGGGAGCGAGCAGCTTGCGATGAGTAATGAGGAGGATCCATTCTTCCAGGCAGGGGTGGCAGGGGTTGAGGTCTTGGTTTGTGGGGCCCCCTCGTGTCTATCTCTAGAATTTATTTGGCCGGCTGATCCCCCTCTTCATGTTTGTGTAGGGATTTGTGCGTTGCCTCGCTCTTTGTACCGTTGTGTGCTTGTTGATTTGACCGTCATGCTTTGGATGTGATGCAAAAGGTCTCTGATGTGCTGGCATTTTCAAGGGATCAGCGTCCAACCAGATCCGTCTTGCGCCTTGTGTGATGAGAAAATTCAATATGTACTGGACTTGTTTATCACTTGGTCACAACATGGTCAGAGAGTATTCAGTGGTTGAAAAAAAGGCATGGTGCCAACAATTCTTACAAATACAAGTAAATGTTTCAATCAAATTGAGAAACACTACAATGCGCTGTACTACTGGCATTTCAGATACATGTACCTAAATTTTAAAAGTTTGGCCGACTCTGAGGATGTCAAGATTCCACACTTGCTGTTGAATTGTTAAAATTTCGCAGATTAAAACATGTATTGATACCAAGTTAAGTTCAGTGATCCCTGGGCTTGATATGAAACTCTGGATGGCATATGCACAGGAACAAGTCTGGTGGTTTTATCATTGGTCATCAAAGTCCTGTCTCTGACTGAACTTGACATGTGCTCTGTGGGGGGGGTCAGTAGTATTTACAACATGTTACTTTCCACATCAGGCCCCTTTCAATGAAGTGAAAACTTCATCTTTGCGACCTGTTTATCTTTGTGGCATCAAGTTAGTTTGAAAGCCGTCACCTGTTTTCATGCAGCTTGTTGTCATACGAGTGCAGAACGCGTTACTTGAACCTGACTGGCAAAATTTTTTGATGCACTTTGCAAATTTATTGGCAGTAGCATAGAAATGTGAAGATGTTCCCGGTGCATTGTTGCCGTCGATCCAAGCTCTGTCCTCGTTGATCAGTGGCGCCAACAGAGTGTTGGAGCAAAGACAATTACTGTCGGTAAATGGGAGTTTTGAATTTAACAATGTACATGGTGGCCCCTCCCATCTGTTCGGCGCTGCGGCAGACAGACCGGTGCCAGTCAAGTAAATGTTGCCGAGGTGGTATAATGAAGTATCTTTTGTCTGCGTCATTCTTCACCCCTCCTTGTTCTGGGCACACCAAATTGATCTCGCTCACAGTTCGCTGCTGGAATTGCGGCACAGTCAAGGCCTTTGAATAATGACCACAGAATGCATAATTTACCATGTCATTTGGAAAGGGAGAAGAAGGGCATTCTCCTGATGACAATGGAAAGGTTTAATGACTCCATTGAGGATGGATTAGTGCGCAGTTCACCAAATTTAAACTGAAAAATTTAACACGGAGGAGAGGATATATTTTTAACTCTTCTCTGTTTAAAGTTGTCTTACATGTGTATTGGACTTGACAGTTGAAACAGCCATAAATCTTCGTAGGCATTTGATAGAAAAATTACAAATGATTTGCACCTCATTTTTCTTTGTTATACTATCTCACTGTTGTGAACCCTTGAAGTAAACAGAAATTGAGTTTTGTGTGATACACCAATTACTATTGTAAAGGTCTCTGTGTATTTGAACCAACTTGTTTGTATTTGTGTTTTTTCTTTTTCCTTCTGGCTTTTGGTCATTGTAGGAGGCAACAGAGAATGAAGATAGGCCTAGAAGAACAAGGGCAACAGGACCCGCAGGTGAGACAGTCTGTTCCTTATGCCAATAAAGGCTCGTTGATGCACTGCTCAAAAGTGAATATCAACAGAATTTTGTAAGGTCCGATCAAATATTCGCGCCACGATTTTGCAAAAGTTAAATGCATTTCAGCTGGAGTATATTTTGCCCAAAAAGGTTTTCTGATGTCGAAATTCGCTTTGCTTTTGCATTCTTGGCCTGAAGCCTTCAACCGGTCTTACGTGAGGGGGCTCTGTTACTCGGCAGTGACATGCCCGAGGGCTGACGCACAGCACACAGCGCATGCTTGTTTGTGCTTATTTGACGCGGGGCAGTCCATGCGTGTAGGATTGCAAATGGGCAGGTTTGCCGTGTGCGCTCGGAGTGCCACGTGTGGGGCAGGGTGCCAGTGGCACTCCGATGCCTGCCTCGCCTTACCCTTTGTCACCGGTGAGGGACTACTAACATACGGAGCCCACACGACCCTCAGTCTTACAGTTGCGAGTCTGAGAGTGTGCCAGTAACCACGGAACGTTCCTGTCCTTCCTGAGATTTGCATCGGTTTGTTGGGTACATGTTCATGTCTTTGCCATGTTTATGTATTTGTTTCTCAAAATTGTCAAGCTTCACTGCGTGGTTTATTTCAGAAAACTGGGTGACCTGGTCACTAGACACAGTCAAATCCACAATTTCATAGTGCCAACATTTTTGTAAAAGTTTTAAAAAATCTTGGAGTGAGATACTCAAAAGGATGGTCAGGAAGGTGTAACATATTTCCTAGGCCCATTTTCATAGCACTGCACGAAAGTTGTGTTTACAATAGTAGAAACAATATTGCCTTAGATGGTCTGTATATCACAGCATTGATATGCTGACTGTTGTGCCTGCTTGGAAATTTGTATGGTTACGTCACTGATTTAAGCAACATTTTCCTCTGAGGTTAAGCAAGTTTTTGCTGTGCTTACTGCTTGGTGGTCTCCAAGGAATAGATGGAGGCTCTGTTAGCACTGCAGTGGCTTTTAAGCAGCTGTCTGAATTTATTTCCGAGACTTATAACACTGTGCCTGTTAATTTTTGGAGGTTAAAAAAAGATCTGCTTTCCTTTTTTGCTTACATTTACTGTGCTCAATGGAGTCTTTGTGTTTGGCAAACACATTCTCACAGACACAGGGAAAAAAAATCAAATGGAAAGAACAAACCTGACAGTGCCGACCAATCTTCAATATTTACGGCATACATCTGTTTTTGCTCCCCCCCTTCATCAATCAGGTGTCCATTAGCAGACCCAATTCATTTTTTCCCCCTCGCTTTCTTGTTTTGCAGCAGGTGTCATTATATTCCAATCGGAGCAAAAGCGACCTCTTGGTCATTGCAGAGTGCTTTTTATTCTCTTATCGCCATCACAATTAATCTTATCTCCCATTTCTTAGATGTGCGTAACTTTTGGCCGTGTAATTGCTTCAGATGGATTTCTGGTATTTCTCTGTGCGTGTGTACTGGCGTGTCATACATATAGTGTGGACCTCTGCACAAAAGAAGTCCACATAATGTAGGGTATGATGGCGTTGTGTGGACTCGCACACCTTCACACAATGTTTTCCCCTCCCTGAAAAATCAGTTTTGGAGGCATTTTGGGGTCAAGGTTATCTTTGGCAAAATGAGGAGGAACAATCCAGGAAATCGTCACAAAAAAATCCAGCTGGAAGGAGTTATCCCAGTGGGAGAAAAAGGAGCATTTACCTTAACCACAGGAGAACAAGGGCATGTCCACACTTCGTATGTAAAACAAGTGTAGGTGTGTGTGTGCGAGCGTCTGGGTTTGCGTGCGTGGGAATGAGTGAAATTACTTTGGGGGTTAAATTGGTTTTCTCAATGCCAAAACACACCCTGTGCAGTGAAGTCCCCAGATAACCCACGTTATCATGTCAATTTGACGGCTTGCTGCATGCACGACCCCTAGAACTACTGTACATGTACACTGCTCTTCCTGTTCGCCCACAGAAGCCCAGACATGTATGTAAATATTTAATGGCTGTTCACAAAGTTGGTCTTTTCACATTCATTCGAACGCCTGACTGTAGGGGAACGGTAATGAAGGCCTTTGCCGTTATGTACATCTCATTAACTTGATTACTACCAGATATTCCCTGTCAGTGTTAAAAACATGCTGCCATTGAGGTGGTGAAATTGGACTCGTCAAACTTTCCCATGTGAATGCATCCATATGACATTCACAGAGATCATTATAGGATTGAATGAATAGATTTTTATGTAAGCAAAAGATTTCAACCGTTACCTGTGATGGAAAAGTTAGTTACATGTTGCATCCTTCCCAAATGCCAAGTATACATAACGTGTGCATGTATGTCATTTCTTGTACTTGACTGTGTCATGAGGAATCGGGAAAACTTATCACATTTGTCTCACGTTTTTCCCCAATGTCTTTCACAGATCCAGTCCCGGAACATATGGGGTAAGTTGGACTTGAAAACTTCATTTTCTCTTTGTGTACTTCTCCACTTTTAAGGGGGGAAATGTTATAACAATCACTTAAAATTGAATCCTTAAAAGCATCCGCACCTACCAGGCAGGACGTTGGTTGAAACCAAGCAATGAGTACTAAGAGTAATTTTATATTTAAACAGTCAGAAACTGCTCAAGCTCATTCAAATCAATGTACTCTATGGTCGTTCTGTGTTGTAATCTTTGGAGGTCAAGACTATGTTGAGAGTAGGATTTTTTCCCTCTGGATTCTAAAATAAATGTGAGTTCCGTACGTGCAATGCAGGTGATATTTGTATTTGGAGGACATGTCTAATGTTTCAGTCAAGGAGGTACTTAAATATGCCAGTGTTTCTCGTGTGCATATTTGCACAGAGAGAGAGAAGAGATGACATTACACCTCGGAAAGTTACATGTACGTAGTTCTGCCTTTTTGAACTTGTAAACATTTTCCTTTTTTAAATTAAGCAGCCTGTCATGTGCATGGCCAGATGAAGCTTTGTATGTTAAGGAAGGGATGTCCACGCAATTATTCTCTTCAAAGAGAAAACAATCAATAAGTTTACTTTTTTTATTTTAATCTTCGGATGCTCCCGAAATAACTGGGCTGCACTTCCCCAGCCTGGGAAGGCTTACACCTGGTAAATTCTCTAGGGTATGCTGGACAATGCGTGTTCTCCTTTCGTAGTCGTTGAAGATCCCTGACTAAGTTCAGCTTTGGTCTGTTGTAGTGGGCTTGTGTTCCAAACAGTTTTCAAAGCTTCTGTTTGTTTAAACGATTGATTAGATGGAAAGAGAAAAAGAAAGAAAGACAAAATTGTTCAGCGGAGTTAACAGGTGTTTTGGTGCTGCTCCTTTTTTTATTAGCCTATTGGTTGCATATTTACAATGCAGAAGTTTTGCCGTATAATCCTGCATATTGTGACCTGGGAAAAGTTTATGGTACAAGGGACATGCACATGTACCCAAGGAAAAAAAAAATAAAAAAATAGGCTACTTTTCAACTTAACTTGCACAACTGCTAGTTATCACAGAACATAGACAATAAATAACATGGAATTGGATAGAAGCTTAATTACATCGAAGAAAAGTAACCAGACAGAAATAGACATCCTAACAAAGTACCTGAATGATAATTTGATTCTCCTTGCAGTTTGTTGGAACAAGAAAGACGAGTGTGTGGTAATGGACGAAAATCATGCAGAGAATATGTAAATTGAAACAAAACATACATGTACATGTATAACAGTGAAGTTAATTCAGTTAAACTGGCACATTCACATTTTTTAACACATTTAAGAAGCATAGATGTACAAGCTTACCTACATAAATTCAGGAAAAAATGAAAAAAAGGACCAATTCATGCAATGTTTTGAGATAAAAAAAGGAGTGTAAACTGCAGAATACTCGGCTCTGCCGAGTATTGGAGCAGATGGAGAAATATGCAGGCATGGATGAATTCCAGCTTTTAACAATGGATAAATATGTTGTAAAAGCGTGTATTTACATGCACATGGTGTACGCAGGCATGGGTGCACTGCCGATGTACACAATGTACATGCGCAGGCAAATACGTTCACGTACTTGTTATATGACACTCAGTTACCTGTAATGTGAACACGTGATATACCACTTGGGCTGTATCTTCTGAGCCTGCGGTATTTTTTGAAGTATTTCGCTAGCCCTACATAATGAGCTGAACTGGAATTGTGCCCTTTGAGGTACCAAGTAAAATTGCAGGCATTGACTGTGTATGCACAGGCGTTGAAGACCAACTTTGAGCAGGCTGGTTGACCATATGGTCTCTCTTTTTTTTTTTTTTTTGCGCATTCTGCATACCTGCAGATTTTGATCATTCTCCCAGAAGATTCTGACATTGTTAAACATTAGCTTTTTTTGGAGGAAAGATCAAAAAGGACCCGCCGAAGCGGAAAATTATGTGGCAAATTGATCTGGCCATTGTTTGTAGGATCAGTTGCGGGTTTTGAATCTTGTGTCTGTGAAATGGATTGGCATTACGAACGCCGCCCATGCAGGGATTCATTCCTTTGGTTTCTGATTTCTCATCTTGTACAGATGCCCCACGCCCGGCTGCGATGGATCAGGACACACTAACGGCAAATTTTCCAAGCACAGATCGTAAGGGACAATTTGCTGCCTGTTATCAATTTCTGAACAGGTTACGTGTCAGCTGTGCCTCTTAATTCAGTCACCACATGTACAGCTCATACCTGCACGGAGAATAATAGTTTTGTTGTGTAGTACCCCTAGTGATGAAAAGTCATGGCTACTACGAAATGAAACGGATTTACTCTGATGAATTTGGCATTATTCAACATTGTTCTAGTTGTGGGAGGGGGGAAGGGCTGACCTTCATGTAGCTTTTTAACAGAACGTAGCACTTCAGGGATACCAGCCCATATCTTTTTGTTAACTGTTCAACAGGATTGTCAGTTGCCCAGTAGCATCCAAGAAACGAAAGCTTTGCTCCAAGCCCACCTCGCCCGAGCCTCAGCGCAAGGTGAAGCGGTCCCGGCGCCGTGGTGGCAACAACGCCGCCTCGAACCAGGAGGAAGTCGATGACGAGGTCATCATCAACAGGCCTGCCACAAGGGGTGGGGCAGCAGCTCCAGACCCGGAGGACGAGAACTCCGTGTCCTCACTGGATGACGATCTGCAGTCCAAGTGCAGCCGGCGAGCCATTGTCAACCTCCAGAAGCTCCTGGACAACGTGACGGCCGAGATCGACCAGGAGAAGAAGGGGGCAGAGGAGGGGGCAGAGCTGCCCAAGAAAGCAGAGGAGGAGGAGGAGGAGGAAGAGGAAGAAACCCCGCCTGACGACGATGACGATGAGAAGGATGAAGTGGGCAAGGAGATGGAGACTGAGAAAGACGAGGAGGAAGAAGAGGAAGTTGCTGATGATGCTGAAGAAAAAGAAGAAGCTGAAGATGATGGAGATGCCGAAGAAGAGGAGGAAGAAGAGGATGAGGAGGAGGAAGCAGTGGAAGATGATGAAGTCCAACTGAATCTGTACGACTTCAAGAATATCAGCACCTCCGTTGTAGCCGAAGACCAGGATGACGAGGAAGTCTGCACGCCTCCCAAGCTTCATAAGGAACTGGCCTTTCTCAACCAGGAGGTGACTGTTTTACACGCTACTCCCGAATTATCCAAGGGGACTACCGCCTCGGAAGCCCTGACAACAACAGATTGCCTCTCGGATACTGTTGACAAGGAGACTGGTGATGTTTCAGGTGCCAAGCTGCCCTTGGAGAACAGCGAAGACATGGACGAGGATGAGGATGAGATCCTGGAGCTGATTGGTGATGAATCAGGAGATGATGATGCCTTCTCCTCCACCCCTCCCAAGCCCAAGGAGGCAGGGCAAGAAGACGAGGATGACTACAGCATCGCCATGCCACAGCTGCCCAAGCATCTCCGTCTCATGAGTGAACAGCTGTCGCAGGAGCTCGAGGAGGAAACAAAGAAGCACCAATCAGATGACAGCACCTGCCAGGAGAAGACCCTTGGGGAAGAGGTTTCCAAGCAAGTAGTTAACCAACCTATCCCAACCATCACCGAAGAGCAAAACACTGATGCTGCTGAGTTAGAGAGCAGCAAACAGATTGCACAGACTGAGATTCAAGATAGACTGGCAGAAGCTCAGCACGCCCCTGCTGAAAAGGAGGACCCTCCGGGGGTACAAGAAATGCTTCCAGAAGCTGAGGAGGAGACAGATACACAGAGTGTAACAGATGAGCTTCCTGCTAAGGACAGGGACACCCTCCTGACCGAGTCCATGCCGGTCCCAGACGAGCCGCTGGTCATTGATGACAAATCAGTCAGCCAGGCTGAGGAGAACAAAGAGAACACGCAGATCCCCCCAACCATTAGTGCGCTGTTGTCGGCTAAACCCCAGGTCTCCTTTCCGGCGATGTCCAAGATGCTGACCATACCCGTGGTCAAGACGGAGCCGGTTGACGTGTCTACGGCCGGCCAGATGACGTCTATGGCACTGGCGTCATCCAACATGACATCGGCCATGACGCAGATGAAGGAGGCAATGAGGAGTGTGTCTGGCACCCCGATGACGTCAATGCTCCTTACTGACGGCACCCCAGTGACAACGATGCTAGCACCAACATCAAGTATGTGTCCGACAATAATGGCCCAACCTAAGAAATCAGTCAGTAGTGGCAAGAGCCACATTTGAGTCAAAGGGCTTTGAAAGAATCTCGTCGTCAATAAGATCACCCAAACTTTTTCCACACAAAGTACCGGTATGCTCATTTTCCTCCAATTGGCAAACTGAGCGGTGCATTTACTTCAAAACAAAGAGCTGAGTTTACTTCTTTTTTAATCCAGCTAAACCAACATTACTGGAAAAAGTGGCCTTTGAAAGATCCTCACTGTGTGGGATCAGGTGAAACGTTTTGCTGTCTGGCCATGATATTTTGGACAAAGGACGTTTCCTCAGATCGGCTGATTTCCTCATTCACTTTCCACAGTCGTCAACATGATAAAAAAAATGCACCACCTAGTCTCGTGCAAGTTTGGAATTTCCCGCTTTCAAAATTTCCCCAGGATTTTGCACACAGTTTGTAGTGGCATGAGCACTTGTCTTTTTAGTAGAAGGCAGTGTTGTAGTCGAGTACTTTCCGAGTACCAATGTTCTCCGCAAAATACTAAACTGGGTAAGAGGGAATAAAGCCAGAGTGCACAGGCATTTGATGGTAAATGTGCAAAGGTAAGATTACAAAATAAATGTTAGAATTCAGACACTCCCAGTTGTGTAAAATTTAAGTTTTAAGGAGAAG